AAGACGATTAAGATGTTCCGTAATGTAACACACCTAATCTAAAGGACGAGTAAGATGTTCCGTAATGTAATACACCTAATCTAAAAGACGATTAAGATGTTCCGTAATGTAACACACCTAATCTAAAGGACGAGTAAGATGTTCCGTAATATAACACACCTAATCTAAAGGACGAGTAAGATGTTCCGTAATATAACACACCTAATCTAAAGGACGAGTAAGATGTTCCGTAATGTAACACACCTAATCTAAAAGACGAGTAAGATGTTCCGTATAACACACCTAATCTAAAGGACGAGTTATATGTTCCGTAATGTAACACACCTAATCTAAAGGACGAGTAAGATGTTCCGTAATGTAACACACCTAATCTAAAAGACGAGTAAGATGTTCCGTAATGTAACGCACCTAATCTAAAGGACGAGTAAGATGTTACGTAATGTAACACGCCTAATCTAAAGGACGAGTAAGATGTTCCGTAACTGCGTGATGAGATACTTGACAATTTTATTTTGATAGGGCAAATGGAAAACTTTTAGGGGCTTCTGACGCATTTATTTCCCTTTCACTGATTTTTGTCTTCGAGCAAGACAGAAACAATATAGCAAATTAACAGTAAGGATTATATATAATGAGCGTTTTTAAACCGAATGTCTGACTCTCTGTTGTTGAAGCGCTTAGTGTTTTATTTCATAAGTTGATGTTTTTTTTTCACACTAAGAGATTCACTACGTTAACAAAGCCGTTGCTTTCAACCGTTTATTTTAATAAGACGCCGTTAGTCTCTTATGTGTGTTTCTAATTCTAAATTGTTGAATAAAAAGTTTCACTGGAAGTTGAATTTTCTGAAATAAAAACATATTGCTTTGATCAGGGGCTAACTGCTGTCAGTTATATTCCTGGATTATTGACTCTTAGGTTTCAACGAAAACTTCAATATCTAAGGGATGGGCGTGGCCGTCTGATTAGCGTGTCAGCCTGCGAAGCTCTGGATCTAGAGTTCGAGACGTGTTGCTCCTTACTTTCAACTATAGACAATCAACTCCGTTGTTCGACTCAAGGAATCTATCAAATCCTTTGTGGCGGCGGGTGCTGCTATCTGTCTTTCTCTTCTTTTTTCAGTAGTTCAAAATTAGGGATGGTTATACATGAATACTAGGAGTCTCTGGTCTGGTCATTTTGCCCACGTGTTATTCAGATTAAAAATTTCATTTTTGTTTTTGTTTTGATCAAATCCTTTCTATGTGTATATCTTGTTGTTGATTATTCATTTTCCAACGGACATTCTAGCTTGTTGAATCCTTATTTTAGTTACGAGTAAACTTCTTCTAAGAATGTATATATATATATATATATTTCTTGGTGAATGATTATTTTGTTTTACCGAGAGTCCATCCTCGTGATTTCCTTGTTGTTTCACTTCATGGAATTTTCTATGTGATTTTATAAACTAGTTTGCAGTTGATCAAGACCATTATTGTGTTTTTTTCTTATAGCAAAGCCACATCGGGCTATCTGCTGTGTCCACCGAGGGGAATCGAACCCCTGATTTTAGCGTTCTAAATCCGTAAACTTACCGCTGTACCAGCGGGGGACCCATTACTGTGTTTGTTTGTAATTAAGCACAAAGCTACACGATGGGCTATCTATGCTCTGCCCACCACGGGTATCGAAACCCGGATTCTAACGTTTTAAGTCCGCAGACATGCCGCTGTGCCACTTATTGTGAAACAGAATTTGTTGATTTATAATAAAATATCCCTCATTAAGTATAATTGATCTTTAAAAAATCTCGAATATATATTCAATTGATTCTAAGAAATGTTGAAATATATATACTTTGATTAGTGTTCGACTATATATATTTAAGGCTAAAATTTTTTTATACTACAAACAACACTTGAATAAATCTTGAATTAGTAAAAATTCAAATCTGTGTCACATTGACAATGCTAAAGTAAAACGTAAGTCTCCTATAGATATTACAATTACAAATGCAAAAACCAGGCATTGTATTCACAACGTTAATTCACCTATTACGTCCTGTAGAAATAGTTTCTTACGTATTTTTAGTCGCGAGGCAAGTATTCGAATGTCAAAAAATGACTCATTAACGGTATCAGTACCGACGCAAAGAACAACAACAACAACGCAGTATTAAAAGTTGACGCATTATAAATCCATAACGTTCATCCATGCTGTGACACAAAGCTTTTTTTTTGCTCTCGTATTTGCTCACTCCTTATAAGAATTGATTTTTCATTCATTGTTGTTATCACTTCCGAAAATTATTTGAATATGATTGGGGGGAGGGATAACGGAAACTTTGCTCAGTTAAGGGGGTGCCATTATTTAAACGTTGGAGAACACTGGCTTAAGGAAGTGTTTCCTACTTTGAATGCACAAATTTTTCAATGTAACCTTCATCTCTAAATAACTACAATCGTCAGTATGATACTTATCGTTATTAGAGATGTAATAAATAATAATATATTGTTTAAAGATGATGCTGCCTATTT